TTCTTTTTTTTTTGTCCACTTATTTATTGTTTTTTTCCTTGAAAATGTATTCCTTGAATACGGTTTTTTTTATTGGGCATGTGTTCAAAATTAAAAACTCACTATGTTTAAGGCCACGAGACTGGATGGTCGCATGTAACGACCACCTCATAAGGTGGGCATGTGTTCAAAATTCACAGCTACACGAATAGATACAGGTTAAAAGACGAAAAATGTGTTAACCGCATATGAGTGCACTCAAGTTATCCCGCTAAGAAGTCATACAAGTCTCTCAAATCAGGTCATCACAAGCATCGTGAAAGATAGAGATAAATTAAACAAAACATTTCTATTCCAAAAAGATCATGATGAGTTCACACATTACAGAAAATCATTGAAATACAAATGACAACTGATCAATACAACACTACACTAGGGAAGAGGGGCGGCAGTCGAGTCGGCGTTGCTCGAGCTGGCATTTGGATCGAGCTGAGGGCTAGTGCCAGAGGTTGAGTCGCAAGCCTCATTAAGTCGGCGTCATCGAATAGATTCAGCCATTGCGACCAACATGGCAGCTGGAGGGGTAGCATCATCAGGTAGAGCGAAGGTCTTCTTCAAAATATCCGATCAGCCTAAGGTTCTTTCGAGCTGCCCCGACCACCACTCATGCTCAAGAGGCAGAGTAGGATCCCCATGAAAGCCAGAGGGAACCTTTGGTAAGGCATCCCAGATAACCCCTGGGTCGAGCTGCTCGAAGTCATCCTCAGCGATCTGCTTGTCGGCCTTCTGCAGGGCAAACTAAAAGCAGGCCACCCCAAAATATTGAACCTCCTTGAGAAATTGTGGTGACTGCATGAAGTCAGCCACCACTTGCGCGCGATGCTCACGAAGGAAGAGCTGCCCGGTCGTTGTCGCCCAGAGCATTTGCCTTGCTCGAAGAGCAGTAGCATTTGCATAGCGTTGTTTTTCTTCAGCATGGGCAGCCCTTTCCTTAGCCAAAGTAGCCTCTGATTCTGCTCGAGCAGCCTCCGCTTGTGTTCGAGCCGCTTCCAACTCAAATCGAGCTTTTTTTGCCTCGGCTCGAGCAGCCCGTTCCTGCTCGAGCACCGCCTCTTTCTCCTTTAGAGCGGCTTTTCCGTTACCGCTGCCTCCTTTGCCGCAAGAGCAGCATCTCTCTCCGCGAGAGCCTTACTCTTATTAGTGAGCTGTTCATCAAGGGATCTAATCTTGACGTCGAACTCAGTCTTCTGCTCCATTTGGGTCTCGCGGAGCTTGGCGTTGTGCTTCAGAAGAGTCGAATTTTTGTCCTGCATAAAGCCAAGAGCGCCCTCAAGACTCTTTATCGACTTCCTAGAGCTGTCTCGGGCCTCCTTGGCCAGGGGAAAAAATTGGACCAAGCCCTATCAACAATTATAATAAAACAGTTCAATCCATGTATCGACAAAGAAAAGTAGGAGGGAATCAATGTAAGTTTAAGACGAGTAATATCTAGGCAAGCCACTGCACGAGCTGATCGCCAACCTCGGGCAAAGTGGCACTGGCCTTTTTGCGGTCATCCTCGAGGTAGGCATTCTCGAGACGCTCGGCCACTTCGTTTATAGAGGCCGATAGCAGGGAGGTAGGTTTTGGGGCCAGCGGGTCAGTCTAAGTATGGCTGGCACTCCCCCGTTTCCAGACCATTTCTCCCTGGTCGGTGCGAGAGCGCTTCCCCAGGGCCAGCTCACGCCCCGCACCATCTTGACTATCAAACTCGACCAGAGCCTTGGTCGAGCCAGCAGCAAGCTGCTTAGAGGAAGAATGGTCGACATGAGGCTTGTCTGGGACCTTGGTTTTGGACGAGGTATTAGGTTCGGAAGATTTGTCGGTGGTTTTGGAAGAAGTGACATCCTTGGGATTGGGAGCTCGAGGGTCAGCCTTTTGGTGGCGGTTGTCAGGTTTTTGATGGCGGTCGTCGTGTTTTTGATGGCGGTCGTCGGATTTCTGGTAGTGGTCAGAGGTCTTTGGGTGGCGATCATCGGCTTTGGAGGTGGTCGAGGACTTGGTGATGGCGGCCGAGGTAGAAGAGGGTTGAGGAGTTTTACCAAGAGGAGGTGGAGGAGTTTGGCGCGTTTGTTGCTGCTGTTGCTGTTGTTGCTGTTGTTGATGCTGTTGCTGTTGTTGTCATTGTTGATGTTGTTGCTGTTGTTGTTCCTTCGACGGTGGTGGTGGAGGTAAGGGAGTCTCTCGCGGAGGTGATCGTTGTTGCGGTTCCGGTCGAGATCCGCTAGAAGTGGCCGATCCCTCGACCTTGTCGCCAATTGAGCCAGAGGTAGCCCCTGACTTCTTCTTTAGAGGAGTCTTCCTTGGGGGAATGTTGAAACTGGGCACCTCTGCAAGAAAATAACAAAAAGATTAGAACCAACATTAACAGAGGATAAGTAAAACAAACACAGAGGGGTGCCGAAGCATCCGAGTAATCTGGTCGAAGATTACCTGGGTCATTCTCGATCCGGATAAGATCGAGGATCTCATCACTAGGGGAGGAGGTTTTCGTCCTTAAGAAGTTTTTCTGATGCAACGGACTTGGAATTCAAAGTGTGGACCCGTTGGTCGAACAGAGGGTTTGAAGGAGGGGCTGAAGCCGCCTCTTGTGAAACATCCTTGACCCAAGGGATAGAGGGCCAAGGGAAAGGGACATCGGGCTGAACAAAAATAAATTTATCACTCCACTTGGGAAGATTGGAGGGAATGTCATTAATAAAGTGGGCACCGTTGCGACTTTTCAGGTAGAGGCCTCGACCTTGTTTGGAAGGGACGTAGCAATAGTGGAAGAAATCTAGGTCGAATCGACCTAAGCGGATGTGACAGAGAATGATGAAGGTGTTCATGAAACGGATGGCGTTAGGAGGAAGTTGATGTAGGGGAAGCGAGAACCACTCGCAAATGCGAAGTAGCTCGGGATTTAGGGGGAAGCGGAGACCAAGTTTGAACTGGATCTCGAAAAAAGTATAACAATCCCTCGGGGGATGATCGTATTTGTCGGAAGAAGAAGATCTATAGAACGCCCAACCGATAGGTTGGCCGATTTTTTTAGGTTTATACCAAGGGTGGGAGAGAGAAGTAGAAGATGGACGCTTGGAAGAGGCCTTAGAAAGTTTCTTGGTCGAATATCGCCTAGTAGGAGAATCAGAAGGTCCGGGTTGGGAGGAAGAAGGCGGAATGGTCGAAGATGCGGGAGCAGTGGGTTGAGGAGAAATGACCTCGTCCTCCTCTGGTTCGTCTAACGCACCGAGAGCAGGTCGACGACGGCGGAGAGGAATGTTATCCATAGTATCCCCAGAGTTGGAAGAAGCAACACGGGCTGTGAAAATACGGGTAGGAACAGAATCTCCGGGGCGAAGGATCGAGAGAGGAACAACTTCAAGTGCAGAGGGCAACACCTGAACCGAGTCAGAGGAGGTGGTCGAGGTAGCAGGATCTGAAAAAGAAAAAACAAAGAAGAAGAAAAAGGAACAATATCAAAAAGAGGAATTCCGACGAAAAGAAAAATGGGGAAGAGGCGAAGGTTTTCAAAGTTAGGGTTCTATAAGGAGGCGATTTTAAAAAAATTGAAGAGGAAGAACAGGAATTTCGGAAGATTTTCAGAGAAAGGAGCAAAATTCACGATGATTAACGAGTAAAAATGGATACCCAACACACAAATTCAGAACACCCAGCCAGCAAAACTCGAGATATCCAACCAATTCAAAAAATTTAAAGAAAAAAAAGAGAAAGTGCAAGACACAGGAAACGTAAATTCAGATGAGGAGAAACTTACTCATAATCGCAGAAGGGAGAACTGGAAAAGCTCAAAGACTGCAGGAGAAATCGCCGAAAGATTTAGGGTTTTTTGCAGTAGAGATTTTGAGCACACAAGAGTTTGAAATTTGCGAAGGTGGAAAAAAAAATCGGAAAATTCTCTTAGTGTGGATTTTATACTAGGGAAAGTTAAAGGGTAGGAAGATGAAGACCGTTGGATTAAAGCCAGATCTAACGGTGGTAAGCATTAACTCGCGCGGCACTCAAAGCAGGCGCGTTATGCGAGGAGGCGCTATCATTAAAGTGCCTGACAAGGGCGGCAGACGCGACGCGTGGCAGAAAAGTAGGTGCGACAGAAAGGACATATGGCAGGTGACTTTATTTCGGGCAATTAATGAGAAATTATTTGAAAGAGTGGGCGGGAAACTCACTAGGTGGTCGATATCTGACATCATGCCATCGAGGAATACGAGGAACACAAATTCACTCTTAGATCGAGTCACCTAGACTCGACCAGAGTGGGGAGGGGGGGACTAGATGATATAGGATATCATACCTACCAGGCTAAATCGGTCTGCTGAACCGGTCGAAGAGGACGTAACCGAGCCAAGTGGCAGGAAGATCGAGCAGTCAAACAGTCGACCAGTCCATGACTCGACCAGATAAGAGATCGAGCAATTTAGTCGACTTCAACAGGTCGACCACTTCAAGGACTTAACACTACACTGATCGGCCTAGCCACAGGCGCGTGAGAGAACCTCTAACGGATTTCAAGAGAATATTAGGCTCATGTGCAGGAGGACACGTGTCGAGAGCACATTAGTGGACAGCGACAACCACCTCTGACAGCTTATCCCATGTGTAGGAGGACACGCGTCCAAAGAGTATTGGTGCAGGCGATAGTGGCGACGGCTACCTCTGACACACGCGTATTGTGTGTACGGACGGGCAGTTAGGGCAGACAACTCACCAAATCCGGGCAGCCCTAGGTCAGGTATCTCACCTCTATATAAAGGGGGTGAACCTTTCTTCTTCAACA